TGCATCAATCCCACTGTCCATGTCACTGGCAGTGATGTTGAACAGGATCAGTCCCAAGACCAACCCCTGAGGAACACCACTCCTTACTGTTTTCCAACTGGACATTGAGGCATTGACCACAACTCTTTGCGTGCAGCCATCCAGCCAGTTCTTTGTCCACTGAGTGGTCCATCCATCAAATTGGTGTCTCTCCAATTTAGAGACAAGGATGTTGTGTGGGACAGTGTCAAATGCCTTGCAGAAGTCCAGGTAGATGACATCAACTGCTCTGCCGCTGTCCATCAGTCCCGTAGCCCCATCACAGAAAGCCACCAAATTGGTCAGGCAGGACTTCCCCTTAGTGAAACCATGTTGGCTGTCACCAGCCACCTCATTGTTTTTCATGTGCCTCAGCATTCTTTCCAGGAGAATCTGCTCCATAATCCTGCCAGGCACAGAGGTGAGACTGACTGGTCTGTAGTTCCCTAGGTCTTCCACCTTCCCCTTCTTGAAAATGGGGGGTTTATTTCCCTTTTTCCAGACATTGGGAACTTCACCTGACTGCCATGATTTTTCAAATATGTGCTTGCCTTTACTTGTGTGTGGAAGCCAGCAAGGTGAAGCTACAGTGATGGTGCTAAAAGTGTGGTGTTTTCTGTTTTGTTTTTTTTTTTTAATAAGATTTTAAAAGAGTGTATGTATAACTGTGCGTGCTATTTTGTTACCTGTATATACTTAAGAACTTGATGTTGATTTATACAATGTAAAATATGTTAAAATTTCAAATTTGTATGAAGGTAGTTTTCAAAACACAGCGTAACTTGGCAGCAGTAGAATCGTGAAATGCATGTCATAGAAATATTCTATATTAGATGTATGTCAGCAGTATCAGAAGTGCTATGCTTGTACCTTTTACAGGTGTTGTAGACAGCTATATACTGATATTAAGCAAATTTAATACACTTTTTTTTTTCCAGTTATTTTAGTTAATACATCACTTAACTAGTATTATGCAGTAGTGTGACATGTACTTGATTTGTAGATTACTAGGTTTATTTTTTCAGAAAAGTTTAATGTATTGGGCATTAAAGGAGTTATGAAAGAGTTACAAGAAAAATATATTTCACTTCGTACAGTCAAATTACAAAATACAGGTTATGCCTATTGAAAAAGCCAGTGTACACAGGCATTCTATATAGAAGTCATATGGCACTAAGTATTATGTAAATGTTCTGTCCAAATGTAAATATATTTAATATAGCTTAATGGACTATACACATTATGTGATTTCTAGAAGGCTGTTTAGGTACACTACGACTTCTAGTTCAAATGTTTGGAAACAAGTATTCCTTTTTCAATGATGTCTTGCTATTTAATTCAAATAACTTTGTAATTTTAGAGAAATTGTGTTTTCACTGTTTGACTTTGTTAACTTGTTAATTTCTGCTAAGTTCCAATTCAGGATGGTTGTGCTTAGTTACTTTTAATAGGAGAAAGTATGTCTCATCTGATGTGTAAAGTTTTAACAATGCATCATTCTTACATCATCAGCATTCTTATA